CCTTGACTCGGGTCGCCTCGCCTCGCCTAGCCTCGTGCTCGCCGGCGCTCCATCTGGAGTCGGTTTTTTGACACGAGTCAAAGGACCCGAGACTGCACGAGTGGCGAGCGCTACTTCCACATCGAAGTTTGCCTCCAATTCGACTGCGAGACAAAGCGAGTGTGTACACGCAGTACACTCTCGCCGAGACAAGGCGAGCGTTGGCGAGTGCGAGAGTGTACTCGGTGCGCTCGTCTTGTCTTGCCTTGACTCGGGTCGCCTCGCCTCGCCTCGCCTCGTGCTCGCCGACGCTCCATCTGGAGTCGGTTTTTTGACACGAGTCAAAGGACCCGAGACTGAGCGAGTGGCGAGCGCGAGGCACCCCAGTTCACTCTCGCCTTGTCTCGTGGTTAGTTCAGCTGTGCGTTGTTAGTTTGTGGGTGCATCTTGTGTTAAAGTAAACATGGATTGGTCAAATAACACAGTTCTTGACCTTTTAGAAGCCTACCATGGTGAGTCGTTATTGTGGGACCCACCACACCTACACCACAAGGACAAACGTAAACTAACAGATGCTTGGTGCCGTTAGAGCGTAAAACTCAACCGTCCAGTAACCGAATTGAAGAAAAAGTACGCCTAAACATAATTAAAATAAGCATATGCACAAAACAAGGTTAATGTTGCTACTTCCACATAGAAGTTTGCCTCCATTTCGACTGCGAGAGTGTGCACGGTTACTTCGCATAAGCTCTCGCCCGAATTACTCGGCGAGTGCCTCGGCGAGGCGCCTCGGCGAGAGTGTACTGGGGGCAAAGATTAAAAGACAATAAAACGTTTCATATCCACACCATTGCGTGATATTTAATAACCCTAACAACTATTTATTCCAATAAAACTAAATACATGACTATCCCTTTAAAGGACCAGCAGTGATCCATCAAAATGTACAGTTGAGAATGCACACTGTTGTGGTGGTATTGTAGCATGTGTGATGTGTGAGTCGATTGAGTGTGTGACTACTTTTGAATATTTGGGTGCAGTATATTTGATCACCATCTGAAATGGTTTGCTCATGATAACAAAACGTTACCGAAGTTGAGAAAATGTACCTAAGTATTCTTGTTACTGAGTAGAGTTTAAACAGTTAGATTGTTTACACAGTGTTTACTGTACAAACATTCAATCAGTTCTCCAATTCAGCATTAGCTTAGGGAGGTGCATATAGTAAAATTTTACAACCCCTTATTGTTGTTCAATTATCAATATTACAAGTAGCCCTCCTTACTCCACACATATTCCTCAGATATCCTTTTTGATGAATTATTTAATCAATTATTTGTGAGATTACTTATACATTTTCACAAATTAGGCTAATCTTTTCTAACAATAATCATAACTACTTCACCCAATATACTCTCCACACTGGTATTGCCATGCCCAGATTGAATGAAACTATAATCACTACTTCTTGCACTTTTTACATTGCTAATTCCATACATCCAAAATTACCTGATATGCTAAAAATTCCATTCTTGATTAGCTTTTGGCTCTTCTCAAATGACTGGTTTATTATCATTATCCAATACTATTACTGTAATACCCTACTTAATTGCACAGTATTAATCGAAATAAGACATAATTCAATAAGAGAATAACTTTTCTCTTTAATAAAAACACACTCTTTTGGTAGTTTTGTCAAAGGTTAAGTGTTTTGTTATTAAAAAATTGATACTTTTGCAAAATCAATGTGTTTGCGTCGTTTCCCGATATTTTACCTGCATAACATTTAAATTCACCGACAATTTTGCAATATAAATTTGTTGATTGATATAGACAATATCGATACTTAAAATATATAGTGTTAAAACTAAAAATGTTTGTTTTTTATTCAGGAAAATAACAACTAATATTAAAAATTACATTACATTATATTAAAAATATCAAACAAAATTGATTGTATCACTGACAAATGTCGATAGTTCTCCAGCAATATATTTTTGACATCGGTGTTTAGGGCCAATTATATTATCTAACGAGAAGCTTTTTTTATGCATTATTCATATGGCATATATAATTTTTACAATGAATTAATGCATAATAAATGTTATTTAATATGCTATATAGCAGTTTAGATGTGATAAATACACCGTGTCCCAAAAAGAATGGATCAAATCTACAGCTTAATTTACGTGTTACCAAGGGTCCTAGAAAAGTCAAGTATGACTAATTTTAAAGCTGATATCTTAGAGTTTCTTTCGGTTCCCTTCAACAGAAATCAGCTGTTCCATTGTTGTAGGCTGTTTAACATTTTAAAACATTGTAAGTTGTAATAAATAGAGTTGCAGTTGAAAGCACGGTGTATTGGATGATTTATAAAGATAACATCTGTGGTGTGATTTTTTAGGTCTTTGGTTTTGTGAAAGATCAAGTGTGTCTATTGCTCATTTATCTCAATTATAGATCAATTTAAAGCAAAGATAAGGGAAACCTTTGGAAAAATTACGCCACAATGTGCAGTAAGATCTGGAACATGGACTTGATTTCTTTGACTAAATAGCGGAGAACATGTATAGATTAGGCAGTGAAACAATGGTAGGAAAAACTTATGAAGCTAAGGAAAAAAGTGTATATAAAGTTATCTTTTTATCTTTAATAATAAAGTATTTATGCAAGTTTACTTTTGATCCATTCTTTTTGGGACACTCGGTATACTGTCTAAATACAACTAGTGAAATTTCCAAACTGTGTGAAATTTCTAAACACCTTCAATCGAAAAACACACTCGATTGTGTGCAAATGTGGACATGTGTAGTGGCTTTTCATTACCTGTGGACATGGAAGACTCTTGAATTAACTGTGAGAACGTCTACACAATTTTCATGATTTATTTTTACTACATTTAGACCATAACCAAGGAGTGTTCTTTCATTGACTAAGGTTTCCTTGTCTGTGGTTCTTACATTCATCTTCAATTTGAGGTTAGAAAGGTGATGTTTTCAGTCACGTGCCTTGATGTCCATATAGTTTGGTTAAAACCCCACTTCCACACAAGTACAGGTATACATGGTATGTGTGTGTGTGCGTACTCATGTAGCACAGATGGTTGGGCCAACGTTGGTAAATTGTGGAGCCACACAGTTGGCCAACGGTAGAAATGTCACCTCTTTAAACTGTTTTCCAACCAACCATTGTCCAACAATGGCCCAACCATCCAAAAATACTGATGGCCAACTAACCATAACACAACTGATATCCAACAAACCGTTTTATTTCAAACAAAATAATAAAGATTTAGTATGAAAAGCATAATTATTATTTGAGTAAATTGATTAAATAGTTCATAAAAACAAATTTTGAAAAAAAGCTAGAACAAAATTTTTTGGCCCAGGTGGGTTTCGAACCCGGTTCCTTCAACTTATGAGCCTCTTACCTTACCACTGAGCTATCTGTGATTGTTGATATAGAGAGTTTTCAAGTGGTGAAAGAGTAGCCGACTTAAAATGGTCGCAATACTTAAAACATTTTTGATACTACACAGTATAATATGATTCTGTTAATCTGTTAAGGCATCTTAAGTAGTTATTATATATATATATTTTTTTGGGGGGAGGGGAGGAGTTAGAGAGGATACTGGTATTTGAATATAGATTATTTAATTACCGTTAGATTATTAATGCTATTATAATTGACTGTTGTATGATTAATTATTCTTTCCCCTTAAATTGTTGCAAATAAGTTAAAGAATATTAATTAAAAAAAGTTTGCATTATTATAATTATGTTGTGAAAGCTAGATCCAGAGAATGAAAGTCGTGTAAACTCAACTATGGACCATCGTTGGTCCGACAAAAGTATCTTTTGTTGGTCCAACGGAGTGAAAAACGGTTGGCTTGATGTATGATACCCAGCAATGCATGTTAATGTATTTCATTAACAATGAACCAATGTTGGTCCACAGTTGTAAATATTGGTTGGCCTAACTATGAGATATACAGTTGGACAACGGTTGGTTGGTTGTGGAAGCTCCAACCAACCATCGACCAACACTCCCAGTACACTCTCGCCGAGGCAAGGCGAGCGTTGGCGAGTGCGAGAGTGTACTCGGTTCGCTCGTCTTCTCTCGCCTTGACTCGGGTCGCCTCGCCTCGCCTAGCCTCGCGCTCGCCGGCGCTCCGTCTGGAGTCGGTACGAGTCAAAGGACACGAGACTGCACGAGAGCCGAGCACTACTTCCACATCGAAGTTTGCCTCCATTTCGACTGCGAGACAAAGCGAGAGTGTACACGGCTACCTCGCATAAGCTCTCGCCCGAATTTCTCTGCGAGCGTTTCGGCGAGGCGCCTCGGCGAGCGTCTCGGCGAGAGTGTACTGGGGGCATGGCCAACGTTGGCCCAACCATCTGTGCTACATGGGTAGCCTATTTGAGAGCGCCAGACCTTCTGTTGTCATTTTCGATAGCACCAATGAATACAAACCACTATTATGACTAAAGTGGCTTGTATTCATTGATAGCACTCATCTGATTCGGTGCTGTAGCCCGTTGTATATGGCGTTTAGTACCGAATTTTTGTTTCAAATATCTTAAATATTACTGGTGTACCATATTAAGATAATAGGCCTAGTTTGTTTTTGTCGTGAAGTTTTGGTCTACCATTCCTTTTATGGGTAGCTAATAGGCTTATTTATAAGACCTAAAATATGGCAAAATATTTGTTTTAAAGTCTTCAGTCCTATAATTATAGTTTGTAAATTGTTGTTAATGATGAGACTCGGTCCCTCCTTGCACTCAAGTTTTGCTCTGTAGGGACCTGATTTCACAACATTTTTAGTATAGGTACATACATATTTATGCAATATTTATATTTCTGGAATACAGTAAATTGATTTGATTAGTATTACCTCAGAGTAATAAAACAACCTCAGAGTAATAAAACAAAAGTTTTGTTTTATTACTCTGAGGTATTACTAAAGAGCTTATGGCATACAAATGAATAACTCGGAATTTAAAACATAGAAGGTACAACACAAATTATATTTAACTTATTAGAGATCCAGATACACAACTTGAGTAGCAGATATTGCACCACAGAATGCCAGAAAAGCAGCGACAGCAGCAACAGCTGTTGTAGTTCCTGCCCAACTGACCACACTACCCATGCAGATGGACAAAGAGAACTGGGCGAGGAAGACCATGGAACTGACAATAGCGACATCGGTACCAAGCCCTCGAACTTGGCTAGCCACCACTCCGTCCCCACTAGAGTTTACCTCAAACTGTACAAAGAAAACAAATAAAAATAGTACCGGTATATGGACGCTAAAATTGAAAATTCTTATACCACAGTATTGCCTCGTAAGTGCAGAAATTTACAAGATTTTCTTCATTTCCTTAACTATTAGGCAAAGTCTGCCAAGATTAAGAGCGAGATGTTTATGATTGCAAAATAAGCCATAAAAATGGAAATAACATATGCTAACTGTATTAATTAAACTAAATAATTTAAGCTCTAATCTGGAAAAGGATCACAATAATAACTTATCTTACTTATCAATAATTTGTTTGACAACATTAAGATGTAACTCTAAGATAAAGCACTCACAGTGTTTTGTTCGTGGTAGTTTGCTATCAAAAGATAGGGCATGGTAAAGAGAGTCGAGTACATTACTCCAGCCGTCCAGGAAAACACAATAACTCCTATCTTGTGTTTCAATGCTGCCATCAAGAACATGCCAAGAGAATAGAACAGGAGCCCACCGACATACACTTTTTTAGCTCTGTAGAAAACAAGTTCTAAAATGTAAGTTCTGTTTGGTTAGTACTAAAATCTTTCATATTTAAATTCTTATTATCACAACCCCAATCAATTATCTTTAAGAGCGAAATTTTGTTCAGTTTCAAAAGTATTGCGCCATTATTAGTACTGCATATTTTAAGTAGTGCATTGTACTAAAATTATAATACATATTTATGTGAGACTCTGGCGACACACATATTGACTGAAAAATGTTATATTTCCTATTCCTGTTTTATTTTTTCTCTGCATTTTCATCAAGGAGAAAATTCTTTTCGTCTTTTCCATGGAGATTGGTCCTGGGCGTTATCAGGATGAACCCCATCTGGGGCCCTATTTTTGAAATGGTTGACTGTTGAGTTGAGTGTTGAGTCATTCTATTTCCAATCGTTTCGTATTTTTGAAACGATTGACGGTCGACTTATCAAACCAAAACTACTCACCACCTACTGAGCTGTTGAGTGGACGGTTGACTGCACTTTCTTCTTCCTCTTTCGGTAAAAAAATGCTCTTTTTGAGTCGATGCCATATTGTTGTTGCTTTAATTTATTAATTGCGATTTAGAGGTTATGTATTTGTTGTCAATGTCTTAGCACCCAATACTTTATGCGATTGTTTTCTGTAGAATAATTGCATTTTAATTTTATTTACTGTGTCAATACTAGACTATTTAATCAAGGGTTATATCCTTGTTGGTATGTTTGAATTATACTAGGCATACTAATTGAACTTATTGTAAGATAATTATTGTTATTAGACCTATGATTTAAGGCATTAAAGATTGTGGTAGAGAGAACCAATATCATAGTTTGTTTCAATACCATTCACCTAATAAAGGGATCAAATTAATTTAAGTTACGATATGCTTTCAGTGCAATGGCAAATAGCCGCTTTAACCTAAATAAAAACACAATTAAAAATAACATGAAACAAAACGATGAAGGAAAGTAAAATAGGGTGATGTGTTCTGAAATAGAGACGAAGAAAGCAAATAATAATTTATTTAGGATATGCCTAAACTTATAATGAGCTACGACCTAAAACGAACATCCATAGTAAATTTTACTTTTAATACTTAAGTTTATACAAGTTAAGGTACTTTTGCAATCACTAAGATTAAGCAAGACATAACGTCAATCTCTCAAGAACGGAGTTGACAGTTTACCTCAGTGTCTCGAAATATGGTAGATTGAGATTAGCTGATACAGATTTTAGAGTAAGAAGAGGTTAAATTGAAGATCGCAAGAACTCTGCATTGTGATTGGTTCAAAATGACGTCATCTGAATTTCGTGCGGTCGTATGCCCTACATTTCCAAAACGAGGCACTCAACTATATAGTGATTCCCAACTCACTTCCAAACTGTTGGATTTCAAAAATACCAAATCCTGTTGTTGGTTGAGTTGAGTGCTGACGATTGACTCAACTGCCATTTCAAAAATAGGGCCCCAGGATGGGGGGTTTGATGGTCGAAAGTAAAAAAGTTATTCAACTCAGCTGAATTTTAATTTTCTTTTAGGCTCATTTTATTATTTTCTTTGATCTGTACTCAATCATATGTTCTCAAAATTCAACTATTTGTAAACAGTTCATATTTATTTGTTTTGTTCATCTTTACATTTTTCATTCTCTTTGCTTGAAAACGTTTGTATTAAACGAAAATTTGGAATGTTTCATGTTTCATTAATCATAAACTCTATCAAGATCTCCTCAAGAATATATATATAGGTACATATATATAAATAATACTATTTTTTATTTGTTGTATTTTGTATGTTATGTTATGTGTTTTGAGTGGTAAAAAGTGATTTCTGAATCACTCTAACTAAGCTCGTGATCAGGAGCAGGCATATATTTATAGAGCTCCATTACTGTGACTTTAACTTGCACCATTTACTGATCTTGCACCACTTAGGCATTAGTGAGTATGTTTTAGAATTATTAGTAGTTTTTTGGACTGTAATAATGATTTCGTGTAAGCTGGATGAAAAATGCTGTATAATGCTTAATTTTGCATAAACTTACTTGTATTGTCTGATTAGCTTTTCAATTATGGAAGAATAGCATGCACAGGACAAAGAATACATAGACATTCCCCAACATCCAAATCGGACACCTTCCTCATATAATTCCCTCAGCTCTGTGCCCTCTGGTGCCTGTAAAAAAAAAACAACACACACATTGGAAATGTAGATCTTTAAAGGGACCAGAACCAGAACCAACACACAGAAAGTCTTTACCCAAGAAGTTACATCCCACTGTGAATATGATCCATTCTTAACATGTCCATAAGAAATTATAAATAATCCTACCACTGTATCCCTCTACTAACTGTTGTAAAAACACTCTTACTGATAACTTATCAGTAAAAAGCTATTTGGAAAGTATTTGGAAAAGCTTGAATTCTTTATTTTCAAAACAGACTCATGTGTAGACTTGTTATTGTATAATTAATTTAAGAAGTCCACATTGACCATGGCCTCCTCTGATTTTGTCAAATGTACAATATTTATACATCGAGCTTTAACATTATAATATGCAGCTGAGCAACGATGTAAAGAACAACTGGATTGCGCTCTAAATGGCCTGCGGTCGTTGTTTTCGGTCTTGCTCCCCCCACTGGACTGGCAGAAGCCGACGCAGCCCATACACTCGTAAAACGTAAATTTTTAGTTGCTGCTCTGTTCAAATATATAGGGATAAAATATTTCTAACGCATGTCAAACTATTTTTACGATTCAAAACTTTATTTCTGTTAAGTTTATATCTGATAGTTTCTTGCAGAAAATAACCCATTTGAACTCTTTAAAACTGCACATTCACTAAACCCGTTTTTAGACAACTGATATTCCTCGTTCCAAATTGTACATGGTAAAATAATAAGTTTGCAAAGAAATGATAGAAAGTATAATATTTGTAATTTCAAAACCTATGTTATGAAACGAAAACATATTTCATATTAGCGATCCATGAGTTATTTGTATCGTCGTAGCTGACTTGTTAGTGCTTGCCTATAGTTTTGCTGTGTTATAGAAAATATAAAAAAGTAGGTAATGTTTAAATGATATCCACAAATAGTTGTTAACTGAATATTTATTTTAGTTACCTTGGGATCTCCATTGAAGACAGCTTCTCCTACAAAGTCAGTGAAATAAAGAGAGTAGCAGACATGGGCCATCCAGCAGAACAAGTTGGTTAGGCATAGGATTCTCATGGACCATGGCATCACGATTATTGACATTAGGTACTGTCGGAATGAAGGAGTCGCAACCTAGAAACACTCTCAACTTAGCATTCGACAATCATAAAACCTATAAGCTTTTCTTTCATGTTACAAATACATAAAACAATGCGATATTATAGTTTCTCTAAACTATTACATGATAACTAAGTCTACGTTAGCTTTTCCACGACTATAGCTATGGTTGAACTGAAGCATACATGATTAAAAAGGACCCAAAAATTAAACTTTATAAATTTCAAGAATATTCATTCTTACAATCCCTGTGTCTCTCACAGTTCAAACCAGTGTATGAAACTCACTTAGCTTAGAAGAGCAAGATCCGAGCTGGTTTTCAAACTTGTATTCATTTCAAACTTTGTAGGCCTATTTAATGCTAATTATACAAAAAAATACCACATTACTTGGTATAACCAACCATAAGTATTAATTGAGAACTAATATTCACTATTCACTAATCGGAGTTTGATAGTTTCTAATAAAAACAGGTGTTTAGGATAAAATATAAAAAAAAGGTCAAATATAAGTTTGTCAGTCAAACCCTTCTCAATTTGAACTTACCCTAGGCCGCCTTAGCTATGCCAACACCAACTAACTAGCTAAGGGGATAACTACTAACAATCACTTTTCCATTAGTGCGTAGTTGGATATAGTTATTTGTGTAACTAGTGGGCAAAGTGGCACTTTGCTGCACACGAGAGCAATGTTAAAGCACGAGCCGAAGGCGAGTGCGGAATGATCTCGAGTGCAGCAAAGGCCTTTTGCACTCGTGTAACACATTATAATTTTCCTACAGTCACTATAAAGCATATAAATAATTAGTCTTTCAAACACTATACAACACGTTTTTAGGTTCAGCTGGCAACACAAATAGGTGCCCTAGAGAAAGTAGTACCCGATCCGTATCACTCCGCTATTTTTCCTCGGCAAGAAATGTGCTCCGCGTTTTGAGAATATAGTTCCGTATGTTTTTGTAATTTGGAGTGGTTTCCGCGCCTAAAAATAATGCTTTAAAGGTATTTTCTTGTTTATTAAGATCGTAGGAATGTTTTAAAAACGTTTAAAAGAAAAGTTCAGAAAGTTCAGAAATACCTAAACTATAAACACAAAATGACAGGTTAAATCGTAGTTATAATAGTCAATCAGCTGCTCATAGTATTATTATCTTTAAGTGTTGCCAACCTATTTCCAAGCGTACACGGATTACGTGCATAATAGAACCACGCTGTTTTGTGTTGTTTCGTTGGAATCCTGATGTGCGGCAAAGTATAAACCGTACGACAAAGTATAAACCGTACGGCAAAGTATAAATATGCAGCAATTAGCAGCTTTCTGTATTATAAACAGTACAAGGAAGCCAACTTTGTCGGGTGACTGTAGGAAAAAATACATGTTGCACTTAGCAGCGAAATACACATAGGTCACAACATATATGATACACAACTGAGGTACTTGAAAAATTGATTATTAGTGTGTTAGTGGTGTTCTTGAAACTTGGTCCACAAATAATTTATTTCTATGTATATTCTGTTAAAAACCTCTTCTACTCCTAGTGGCTCAAGCGGTTTTATCCCTTCAATGCTGCTGACATGCCCATTAGAAACGTCTTCTTCCTCTTGCTGTTGAATCCCATTAAACTGAGTTTCCTTAAAAGAAAACATACAATGAACATAACAATTGGGGCAGTATTCCCATACTGTGTCATATATGATAAATAATTTACAAATTCAATTTTGATGACATGTTAAGTGTAGTCCTACGATGGAATTACTCTAATCAGTGCCGGATTTACCACTAGGCCCAGCCAAGGGCTGCAAGCAAATGGGGGCCACAGAATTCTTTACGAAAGAATTGTTAAACAAATCGGGTTAAAAAACTTAAATTTTAAAGTTAATAATTTGCCGCATTAAATTTTGATTTTCTAAATTAATAAATTGCCGTGATTATAGGTGACGATAACATAGTCCTCATGATACCGTGAGATGTCCACAATAATTTCGTCGTAGGTTATTTTGCCCTAGGGCCGCCACAAATCAAGCATTGACTCTATTGTTTTCAATCACTATCAGCCTGCAGTTAATTGAAATCAAGCAAATAAGTGCTGCCGACACCGTAAAGCTACGCGCGCACTACGGCGGCACGGCACGGACGGGCGGTACGGCAGCACGGACGGCATTTTTAAGAGGGGGTGCGCGCACTAGGGCGGCACGGCACGGACGGACGGGACGGGACATCCGCAATTTAGGACAGTTGACAGTCTGCGAGCTAAAATTTGTGAGTAAAGATGGATGTAGATAAAGTGGTGATAGTAGGTTTAATTTTAGCAGAGGAAGAGGTGACAAGAAGGTCCAAGCAAAGATTTTAGATACACCACATAAACAGGAAAAGACTAAGTTTTGGAGAGTTCAACACCTTGTTTCCTGATCTTGTAGAAGGATTATGTGTAAAACCATGTATGTTTTATCTATGGTAAAACTTACCTGATTGTTTCATAATAGATCATATTTCTGCCCATATACTGTCACGCCGGACGTTATTAAAATATTCCGGATGTCGCATGTTGTACAGTTTGGGGTTTTTCTCAACGAGAAAAATCAACTTACTAACATCTATGTTTACAACACACGAAAACACTGCTACTTTGACAGAGATCAGTTGAGAATGGTGGATGTCCCGTGCCGCCCGCCCGGTCGGTGTGCAGTGCTCCCGGTCGGTACGGGCGGTACGGGCGTCACGGCAGCTCGGAAATGTCCTGGAGTTCTGTCTCCCGGACTTTTTAACAAACGGCGGAAGCTGCCAAACGTCCGTTGCCGGCCGTACCGCCGTAGTGGGCGCACTCATATGACATTCAATGTTATTAACTTTTAAAAATTGCCGTGCCGCCCGCCCGTCCGTGCCGTGCCGCCGTAGTGCGCGCGCAGCTTAACGGCAGATATTTATCCTGAAATTTTTAAAACGCGTGATTATTAATAATTTAGTACAAAAATGTAGATGATTTGAATGAGAAAATAACAATTTAGGGGTAGAACTATGCTTTTCAAGACTTCTTGAATAAATTATGGAAAAATATTATTAATTAAATTTACAGAAGACTCTAAACTAAAATGAAGAAGAAAACATGGAGGTGGTAAGATGATTGTCAGCCACGTTCTCATTTTTCAGGGATATTTCGGGTGTATGAAAAATCTATAGCTTAGCCACTCCTATAACCTTAATAGGGGATATTGAGTCTCAAAGGCTTCAAAGTTAGGTTTTGTGAAAGAAGTTCCAATGCAGGTCAAATATTTTTTAAATTTATTCCCTGTAACATAAAATTTACAATTAGTGGATAAAAAATGATTCCCTGTAATCATTTTACTATCCACTTTATAACTCATTTTATAACTCTTTGTATTATTAATTTTGTTACTCAATTTATTAACATAGTCAATGATAGTTTGAATAATGATTAAAAGCTATTTTACCTCTCACCAAAGTATTTTTATTATTTAACACGATCCCGGTTACGCCCCCGGTCTCCGAAATCTAATCGTGACAATACCCAGTAACTGTGTACCAAGTTTTAAAGCTCCTATCTTTATTATTTTTTTAAATATTTTACCGTCCCGGGAATTTTTTCGACACTGTATATGAATAAAGATTATAAATGCAAATATAGCCCTGGACATAAGAATCCGATTTTGGACAGAATACAGTGGATTGGGTTCCAAGGAACCCCACTAGCTTATGGTTTTATAACTACTTATTACCTCTTGATTCGGATCTGAAGGGTCTTGAGTCGACCCATATTTTGACTTTTTGCCTTGGAGTGGTTGAGATTCTACGTCCAAAGCATTTACACTCTGCTTTGTTGCTGTCTGAAAAAAGAATGCATAAAAGACTGTGCTGGATCCCTGGAAGTACCGCTTATATTTAAACAGCATCTATTATGTTAACTAAGTGGCTTAATGAAGGCTCGTTTACAAAACATATATTATGATTTTGAGAAGATATTATTTTCATTTTATAATATTTATATATAAATAACTACTTTTTGGATTAGATAGGTACCACTTATGGATCAGTATCGTACGTGTGATTGTGATGAAAAAATCTCAAAACCAGCCATATGAATAGACATTAAGGACCAATTAAAGCATAGAAAAGACTATGTACAATATTATTGAGAAAATTATCTGTAAGAGAATATTCTATACATTTAATACCAGTACTTGTAACTATGCCTAGAACAATATGGGAATTTAAATTTGTATACAATTCAATTAAACTATTTGAAAGTTAAGTTATGTAATTAATCATATTGAGTCAAACTGAACTAATTTTAAGCTCGTAGGAACCTGTTCCATTGGATATACCGTTGATGGAAATGAGTGTTTGTTGAGAGCTGTTACTTTCAAAGTAAAGTCTACTGTAAATATCGTTGTAGGGTTGAAAGAGCAAGTGATAGAATGACTCATTAATTAAGATAATTTAGGAATAATAATATTAATAAATAATTTACCAGAAAGTCTTCATTTTCCACTAGGTCGAGAGGGATCTCCTTGAAAGACGTCACTGTGTAAGCAACGCACACAATGAAAATGTACGTAATTAAAGTAAAAACTGCTCTCACATGCCCCCCAAGCATTTCTCCTGCAAATAAAAATACATTTCATAGATTAAAATAAACTGTACGAATCCATTACTCAAATTTATTTTCAAAAGTTTGCACCTTGAATCATTGAAATTTGATTGTTTCATGGCTTTTACTTTGTCAATTGTTAGTATTATAAATTGAAATAATTATGAGTTAGATACACACAGTACCTAATCTGTAAATTACATATGGATTAAAAATAATGATTTAAAGCCAGTTTTAAATTGTTAACTATAAAATAAAAATGTAGGTGTGGCATTAGATATACATTTATGTTGATTTCAAATTAATAAATACCTTTACGTATATATATATATATATATATATATATATAATATAGTGACACCTATATCATTCAAATGAATATTATGTACAACGTGGTGGGTGGTAAAAAAACTGGTTTCATTAATTCAACAATTAAAACTTTTCATTACTGTAAATGATTTATTACACAACAATTAATTCGTCTACTATAAAATCGGTTATAAAGCTGTAATAAGAAACAAGGTTTTGAATTTTAGTGGCCTTTATGAAAAGTCATTGTTTTCTCATTAATTTATTGTTTTGGTCTAATAATGTTCCAGCCCACCAGGTAATATCAGTTGCGGTCAGGTATTTAGAAACAACAATCCAGTTATCTTCCATTTGTAACCATGGTAACCGAGATGTCACACCTTCAATACTGCCATCTTCAACTTCAACTCATGTTTGTATTTTACTAAATCAGACACGTTAAAGCCTGTACAGTTCACCTTACAATCAAGTTATGGAATATGTGGGGACTGCCTTTTTTTATCAAGTACAATTATGTGTTATCATATAATTATATTTAAAAAATGGATATGATAGGTATAAAATCAATAATCAGTTATATTTAAGTGTAGTTGTCCAGTCTATACCCAAAATAAATTCGTAGATAGGAAACTTTATATTACTGACCTATGAATGTATCATCCCAATTAATGCCACCTAATCCGTATCCCATGAATCCTCCCAAGCCTGCCATGATTGTGAACGTGCTCAATCCTCTAGCATGGTCCTCTGGCAAACAGACAAAATGATGTAATACTGTAGTACCTCAAAATATTGAAAATTAATACACGGATTATATGGTGATTTTTAAAGTGTAACGAATAGCTCGTATGCATAACTAAATTTACTGTGTTCTTCTTATGTTCAATTAATCTTGTTTTAAAGAAGTTTCAAGACAAGTTAAATAATATAGTATTAAATGGTAGACTTCTGAGGAAGTTGGAATTTTTTGGCACGCATTCACGTAAACATTTTACTTATACTTATGTAAAAACTGTCTATTTAAGTAAAAAAACTTCCAATATATTTTCCAAATGTGTTAAAATACATAAAATGTACATTAAATGGGTTGTCTAGCCCAGAAATTTTCTGGGCTAGATAACCTATCCACCAAGTTTAAATTGACAGTAATGCCATGGTTTGAGAAATATTTGTTAATAATATTAATGTAAAACCTTTCAGGTAAACAGGCTCAAAACATAGAATATTTTGTATGATAATTTATCAGGTTTAACGGCTTAAGTAATTGAGCTCTTGAAAATTGTAATAATGTGAACTTTGTAAACATATTTATATTTTAATTAAATTCGAATATTTAATTCATACTCAATATCTTGTAAACATTTTTATTAGGCCCATCTCAAACCTTTCTATTAATACGAAGTAAATTAAAGACAAGGGACTAGTAGAATGTAGTGGTATTCTACCCCCGGAAATTTACCCCCATGAAACAACGCCTACTTCAATTTGACGTCACGAGATGTATAAATGGTCGAGAAACAGCCCGTGACTGGATATTTACCACCAATATATGAATCATCATTTAACTATTTGCTTATAAAGTGATTTGCCACACCACGGAATTTTACCCCCAGAAATCTACCCCCCGTGGTCAAATGAGACAAGCCCGACACCGGAATTCTATCCCCGGAAATCTACTTCTCGTGGTTGGCTACGCTACGTATCGGCCAAGATTCATTGTTGTAGTTGATTTTATTAATTGGTTTATAGTACAGGTAAAATAATACAAAAACACTCCATATAAACAACAAAATTTGTACATTCATGAAATTTCACCTGCGAGTTACTAATAATATGAGAAATCAAGATCCGATGAGTCCCCAAAATTTTGGGCGTCCTAAGGCCCTTTTTGGGGCCCTTTTTGTTCCGAAGGGCCCTTGTTCCTGAATAATTTTGTTTTTACGTTTAAGGTCAAGTGAGGTGTGGTTTTCGATGGTTTTTGTTATTTTGAATCGATTGGGACTAGTGTTAAGTGTATTAAACCACTCCATACAGGGTGTTTTGAAATATTATTACTTTTTACGATATTTAAACATTTATTCATAAAATTAGTTACCTCCATGCTCTATATGAAAGGGCATTATTGAAAATAACTGTAATTCTTTACTATATAAGAGGGAAGGATCACAAGGAGTAAGAGAACATATTAAATACCCCCATCACAGCATACCTGCAGACTAAGCGAATTTTCATTTGCCCGATTTTCAATTAAATCTTAAATAGCATCGAGTTTAATGAATACTTAGGTTTGCTGCTACAAGGAGGCTAATAAAGTGTGTTTATAGTAAAATATTAATATCCTAGTATAAAACAAATAAATTTGTTAAGTTTTATTAAGACATATCTAAAAACAAACAAACAAAATCATTTTACACTATTCTCCTTAAAATAACATGGAATTTTAAATTTACAATTTTTAAACTTTATTCGTAACTAATACACTTACAAAACACGTTAAAATTCAAAAATTATTTGTTTTCCTTAAGCTCTTTAAAATGCTCTAGGGAAAAAATGGGAAACTTTGTCTTTTGAGGGTCAAAGATTACAAATTTTTACCACGTAAAACCCTGTTCCATGGACCGATTATGCCGGTTTGAACCAAAATTACTCTAGTTATCATGTTTACGGACACGTATATAACATGGATATATTATATTATACATATGTATATATTATATAAACACATATATAATATTTTGAGTGGATGGTGCTTTAGGCTTCTGGGGGCATCGAAATGAAAACGTAAATCGGTTTCGGGTCTATGTTCTACCATAAGACCTTCGGTAATAGCTTATCTCCTATATGGGATGTTCGCTAAAAGGGGACGGATTAAGTTTTACACTATAACATAATAACATAGGTTACTAAGCAAAAATTTCAACTTTTAAGGTGGTGGGAATAATCTTTCAACGTGTTTTTTATGCAAATCTATTAAGACCAATTTCAAATTGATATGTATTTTTCTTAGGTAGCTATTTCAGATATTTTTTTCACATTTATTAAAAATTAAAACAATTGTATTTGTATAAAACCTTACATTACATATTAAAATGAAGTACTTAAACTAAAACTATTTTTCTACAATTTCCATAGTATCTCTCTTTACAATTCCATAATCACAATAATTATGCTCAGACGACTCATTAACAATTTTTTATTCTTAGCAACTTGTCCATATTTACTGATTTTGTCCAAGTTGGTGTTCAAGCAGGATTCCCCTTTACAAACCTAAAACCTTGCATATTGCAGAACAGGCAACACCAATCTTAAAACACGAACAATGTGGTGCAAAAACACCTTTCATACATACTGACGTTTGCAACTTGTATATTAAGTTCCTCAAACTTATTTTCAATCAATACAAGTACGGTTATCTTTCGTGGTTATGATGACCAGGACAGCACTAAGACATCAGAGCAGCATTGTCGGTACAAGCATTTTTGTCCTGAACAAAAGAGACGAGGTTTATGGGGTAAAAATTGGATTTTCTTATTTACTTTACCCTCAAAACGAAAAGTTTCCCAATTTTTCTCTAGAACATTTTAAATTGCTTAGAAACAAATAATTTAGTATATTAACGTGTTTTTGTATGGTTATTAGTTACGGATAAAAATACTAAAATTGTAAATTTAAAATTCCCATGTTATTCTTATGTAGAATAGTGTAAAATGATTTTGTTTGTTTGTAATATATATATTTTGATCAAACTTGTCAAATTTATTTGTTTTATACAAGGCTATTAATATTTTACTATAAACACACTTTACTAGCCTCCTTGTAGCAGCAAACCTAGGTCATCGTTAAACGAAATGCTATTTTAGATTTAATTGAAAATCAAGTAAGTAAAACGAAAATTCGCTAGGTCTGCAGGTTTGCTGAGACGGGGGTATTTAATATTTTCTCTTACTCCTTGTGATCCTTTCCCCTTACGTGGTAAAGAATGACAATTATTTTCAATAATCCCCTTTTATATAGAGCATGGAGGTCACTAATTTTATTACTTTATGAATAAATGTTTAAATATCGTAAAAAGTAATAATATTTCGAAACACCCTGTATGGAGTGGTTTAGTACACTTAAAACTAGTCCCAATCGATTTGAAATAACTAAAACCATCGAAAACCACACCTCACTCGTCCTTAAGCGTAAAAACAAAATTATTCAGGAACAAGGGCCCTTCGGAACAAAAAGGGCCCCAAAAAGGGCCTTAGGACGCCCAAAATTTTGGGGACTCATCGGATCTTGATTTCTCATATTATTAGTAACTCACAGGTGAAATTTCATGAATGTACAAATTTTGTTGTTTATAAAACCCTATTTTACCTGTACTATTATATAAATCAAGGGCTCTTCAGTTAATCTTCTAATATGCCGTATTAGGTTAGGTAAGGTAAGGTTACGAAATAATAAAATCAACTACAACAATGAATCTTGGACGATACGTAGGGTAGCCGATCACGGGGGGTAGATTTCCGGGGGTAGAATTCCGGTGTCAGGTTTATTAGGATTTTGATTAATTACAACTGTTAAGCAAACCGTGAAATGTGAGTCGATTGAAATAAATAACAATTTATCCATCCTAAAAGTTCATGGCCGAAAATCTACCCCCAGACCCGTGACGTCAAAATGACGTAGAAGTTTTTCATGGTTCTTGGTATTTTAAACTGCATATGTAAAGAAATTGTGCTCGTAAACGTCTGTCAGTATTATTGTATTATGCTTTTTTAAGCTTGACTTAAGTTGTTATGAAAAACAAGTTATTGTAGTGAAAACCGCTACAAATAAGACGAGTTTGTTGAATGTAATTATTATTTATGTTCATTTTATAAGTTGTTAACTGTATTTTGCTTTGGTTACAAACATCAATTCTGACAGTTTTTATCTGTATACTATATCATATGAGATTAACTGTGATAGGATTAGATTAACCTGCAACACAGACGTCCAAAAGATAAGATCTTGCGGGACTTTGACAAGCGTCAGCATCAAAGTCCAGGAGCACAGTTCCTAGGACGGTGAAGAAGATGCCCCAGGGATGAGGGTAGTCGGCATCAGAAACGTTGGATACAAAGTGCTTCCCGTCGAAGTTAGTTGTCTGGTTGCGAGGAAGATCTATAGAAGGGTAGAAATCTCCAAGGGCATGACCCATACGCTCTCCATTTGGCACCAGGATGAGGCCTGTTATACTTGTAGGATTAATTGTGAAACTTTACTAAAACTAACGTGATATCTATATATACAATTAGTGGATTAACTTAAGAAATTACACTTTATGTTTGATATTTCCAAGTTAAACAGTTATTCAAGTGTAGTATATGTGCGTACGTGGATTTGGTTTCTTTTTTCATGCCCCACCTTCACATTCCAGAATGCTAGGCTCTACCCATTACTTAAGACTAGGCATAAAGGGTTGCGGCGTCATCACATAGACCAAAACCATTGGTAATCGACGGAACTTGAACCCAGCAACGAAACGCCGCACTCTACGACTAGACTAGATCACTCCGCTTCAAACAGCGGGTGCAATTAGGAAGGAAAAATGATCATGAAAGTACAATTAAAATCACTACTGTAAACCTCAGTCACATTCTGAAAGCGGTTAATTACAAGCGGTGTTCTAAGATCAATAATTTGTGCTGCTTTCTATTTACCAGCCAAACAAAGGCTGTAACAAACTGTTTCTTTTGCTTATTTAGTTTATCTTTATATTAGAGTGTTCAATTTAGGTTAAGTTACTTTTAATTGTATATATGGATAACTTTACACGTTGAACAGGCTACAAATTTGAAAATCCACAGGTACAACAAACACATAATGTAAAAAACACCCATAGTCGCACTCTAATCCGACTAATCAGAACAAAAATGTGAAGCATTTATAATAAAGTAGTTTTTGTTAGTTATTTTATTTGCAAAACCATTTAAAACTAACCCTGTTTTTACGTTACTTGAATATATAAAATCTAATAAATTTAGTATATAGAAAAATGGTTAATTAATTATAAATTAAATAAATTGTATTTTTCAGCTCTGAATTTGAACTGATATTCATCAATCACCATGTACTGATGGAAACAAAAGAAAACTAAATAAGGCGTAAGTGATTATTTTTCTGATTAGGTTGTTCCGCCATTTTGTTCTGATTTATTATAATTAAATTACACTCGGAGGTTTTTTACAATATGTATTTTTTATATAACTGTAAGGTTTAAAGTTTAGTACTCGATATGTATGGTAAATTCAAAAATGGCAACCAATTTATCGGACATCCTATATTCCGTACCTATGAGAACTCCTAGAGCCAACAGTACGATAAAGGGTCTCCGTCGACCACAAGGAAGGCGGCAGCGGTCACTCATTGCTCCGAGGATAGGGTTGAGGAAGAAGCCAACAAGTGGGGAGAGTGCCCAGACCATGGTCATCCGTTGGTGATCCACACCGATTTTCAGGAGGGTGGGCGACACAAATGCTGTTTCCGCTGCATATGAGAATTCAATTCCCATAACTGCCGCAGACACACGTACAAGTTCACCCCTTGTCTTGCGCCTAGAACGTAACATTAAGAACCATTATGAACAATATTATTTTCATGTAAGTTTTCGTGAAGATAAAATCGCATTTATCAACTAATCACGTAGTGTTCTAAAGCATCCCCGTCATTTTACCATTGGTTGTCATGGCATTTGCGGTTGTAAATACACTGAATGCTGGATTAAGATTTTAAACAGCTCGTTTTAGGAAATTTAAAAACAGAAAATGAAAACAACACTACCTAACCATTACCACCACCTTTTTGGTTGATTTTTAACTTACCGATTACCACAACTAAAATAATAATCTTAATATACAACAGTTGCCCAAACTTGGTTATACTAATTATGTTGTAAGCAAAATAAAGATCTGATTTCCCAAACACTTTTCTAACTTGTTCAGAATAACTTCATGATGACCATTAACTGATGATCACGTTTGTTGACATCCCAATATTTAATGTCAATTTGTATGCCAACTTTTGGATTTCCAGTATCAATGTTTATGGCAGTGGCTATTTATGACAGTATCAATTTTTGTAGATTGCATATCTAGTCAAATTACCAATATTAATTGCAGCCATTGTGGAAGTGACTATTATATTCTTTAAATTTCAATGTAAATACTTATTTTTATATTTAAATATTTTAAAATTTATATTGTCCGTTTTTAATGTTTGATTCGCGATTTTGTTAAACATTTCTGCTATTTGCATGCGATTTTTTAGGGTTGATCAATATTTTATGTACGTAAGGAGTTAGATTAATATTGTTCTGAACCTTGTATAGGCTAATTGTAAAATGTGGAATGCTGCGAAGATAATAAATTAAATGGAATCACCACCTTGAAAGTTCGTTTGGATGTTTAAAAAAATGTCATATTGCCGTGACATATTGAGAAGAGAAATGTTCCGAATTATATTTCACCCAGCAATGTTTTCCACTACAGTTGCCATATAATTTCATCATGGCGTTCGGGTACAGATGCTCCTCACAAAAGCACCTTAACCACAACCCCAACGTAGCCTAACGAATGAAATAAACTTCATGCACTTGACGATTGTATATGATGTAAAAGGTTGCATCGATTATCGGAAGATGTTATGTTCCAAATAGTTTAAGTAACAATAATTTAATAATTTGTAAATGATGTAGGCCTACTACGCCGTCACTTCCAGGCAAACAATTGTCATTGAATTCAAGTTGACAATGCTCGCAATTATTGCGTTCATTTGAATTAGTTTTACCTCTTCACTTGCCTGATGTGAACACTGAAAGCAGGGAAATCATTACAGTTGGTTACAGCAATCAGACATTTTCATTTTTAGTGTATTTTCTATATAGCCCACAGGCTGATTAAGAAGAATATATTAAAACTTTTTAATAAGGTTGAAATTTTATAAATTTAAATTAAAAATCAAAAGTAGTATACAAGATATAAAATAATACAAATACAATCATAACTATTTACAAAATGCATGTAAATATTTTAGTTTATCTAAACAACAGTATCATTATTTTATTGAGAAAGTGTTCCAACAACCCTAGACTAACTCAATACTAATAAAAAAACTAGTTACAACGCTTTCTTAAGCCAAACATTTCACTAATAAGCTTATCAGTGTACTTAGATTTAATCCATCAGGTACTAACCTCAAATGGATATACATTGTTAAAACAAGAATATTCTGTGTATCTAAACCACTATAAACAACAGAGCTAACACAAAATGGTCTAACATCGCGCAAAAACTAAGCATACGCCGTGGATAATATCTATATATGGAGAACGATTGTGGCCAATGCTAAGTCTACGGTCCAAATAAAAAACAACTACTGTGACTTCCTCTCGCTGCGTAGCAGATAATTGTCCTGGTTGCGACGAGATTTTCTGCACTGGAAAAATAAATATTAAAAGTGCAGTCAGTCGCAACCGTTTGCCGGGGATAGCTCAGCCTACAATGGCTGGGTAAAGTTCCAGGGTCTGCGATAAGGTCAGGGAAACCACTAGGCCAAAAGCCGGGTCTAACCGGTATAGGACTGGCTCATACACGGGCACTGTGAACAAGTCAAAAACAAGTCACCACAACAAACGTGCAATAATCACTACCAGGCCTACGCCGATTCTCCACACTCCTAGGGGGTCGTTGCTGACTACGCAACTCGGGCTTCGTCCTAACTATCCAATAGTTAAGCCCAGAGTGCCTAAAACACGGTGAGTTACACGACGACTTGCCAATAAAAACCACAACGCGTGTTATCACCAGGCGGGGTCTACTAGGCCACTATAATCCAATACGCAACTCTAATGCCCAAGCTAAGAATCAAACAGTTCACTCAATAATCGTACCACATAATAATATACAAGTACACTATAGGTAGAGTGACTACACCACTAGTAGCTGGTCTCAATAAATACCAAGCAAAACTAAATGGCAATTGCACCATTAAAATATTGAGCTACTTAGTAGCAGATAAATAAATATTAACTACGTTCCAAACACTAGATAAATATATTATCTGATAGCCGGTACTCCGCTATCCAAGCTACCGAGATAACGTGTTGGACTACCAAACAAGCTGTTCAGGTTAAATTAAAATAATCAAATGATTAATCAATACCAACCCTACTGCTACTACCACTACTGCTACTATATCAACGTTATATTGCTTAGCCGGGCTTCTGTTAATAGGCTAATAATAATAGCTACTAGCCTACTGGCCTCGTGCTTCCAACTACGCACGCTAAATCGTGCAGCCTAGGTTTGTCGGGCCTCAGAGTTATAAGTAATATAACTAACTCTTGGTACAACGCAAAATAATAACTACTACAGTCAATAAATTATATTATTTGCGCTCTAGCACCTGCCCAGAACCGTCAGGAATATACTTTAATATTATTCCTGACTAATATAAATCCTAACTACCGTCAGGCTTTGGCCAGCACGGTTACAACTCTATCTCTCGCAATCGAATCAGAGATGAATGTTTTAGTAACCACTTTCAACTCTTAAACCAAAAAGTAAGGAACGTCGTCCACTCACCGATAGTGGGTCTGTACCCAACTTACACCAACACTCGGCGCGATCACACCACCAACGTTCTCCGACACCACTGTCCACCAGTCTCACCAGTAACACCAACGTACTCCAGTTCCAGTACACCCGTCGTCTCACCAGACACACACTCGCTCTTCACTGCACGGGATCCACCACTAGAATGTCTGTCCTAGGCTATCCTGAGAAACTAGGATATCCCAGGCTTATCGGCACTGATAAGCCGGGTCAAAGGGCGCTCGCTAGCCTCGCTGCCGCCGCTCGCTCACCTCAACAATCGGTGCGCGGCCAAATAGCAAAAATATACCCCCCTAGGGAAAATAGCTCGTTACACCCCCCACTTACATCGGGATGAAAAAAAAAGAAAACGGCCAAAAGAAAAAAAAAATCTTTGAACTCCGGCCAAAACAAAATACTCCGGCTCTTAACCCAATGATTCCTCTTTTACCACGGGTCTCAAAGCAAAACAACAACAAAACTACTTTATTAAACAAAACATCAAAAGAATAGCAAGCACAGCTATCTAACTAACCACCTCCATGCATAACCAAAAATAACTAAGCATCGGTTCTTTCATGGTAGGTCTTAAGGTCTTTAACATGGACGACATGGGTCTCTCTCCTACCCTCGTCCTTTACCTCATACATATTAGGGGCCACTCGCTTGACTACGGTACAAGGACCCTGAAACTTAGGGGCCAGTTTGCCCACTATAGCTTCAGCCGCTGAGGACAAGACATGTAGTCTTCTCATGACTTGATCACCTCGATGGTATTGCACCTCACGTCGCCTAAGATTATAATATTTAGACTGACGCTGGAAAGCCCTCCTCAAGTTCTGTCGACAACTATCGTACAACCTCTTAAACGCCCGCTCCCGGTCACTATATAGCTCGTCCACGGTTCTCTCACGGTCATCTCCAGGCTCCGGTCCCGTGGTCAGAGACGACCCGATTGCCCTAGGTAGCCTGAGATCCCTCCCAAAACATAGTTTGGCAGGTGAAAACCCAGTGGAGTCGTGAACGGCGGTGTTCATCGCGTACTGGAACTCGGCAATGAGTGCATCCCAAGTACGATGATTATCCTGAACAAACTGGGCTATCATAGTTTTGATAACCCGGTTTGGCCGTTCAACCGGATTGGACTGCGGGCTGTAAGGGGCAGTCTGACGGAACTCGATTCCCCACTCTTTCGTCAGGTCTCGGAACACCTTAGAGACGAACTGGGTTCCATTGTCACTCATAAGAATCACAGGGGCGCCAAAACGCAGCAATAGCCCGTCCTTGAATGCACTAGCTACAGCCTTGGCCGTAGCTGACCGTAGGGGTCTTATTTCAACCCACTTGCTAAACAGGTCCTGGAAAACTGCAAGAAAACGATGCCCACCTTTGGATCTGGGGAATGGACCCATCAAGTCGACCGACACCGAATGCCAAGGCCCTTGAGGGTTTCGAAAATACATTTGTCCCGCCGGTTTCTGCTGCAATACCTTAAACTCCTGGCACGTGGCACAGGACCTAACGTATTCTTTCACGGCACGACGCCAACCCGGCCAGAAATAGTTTTCCCCAACCCGGGCAATTGTTTTCTTAACTCCCAGGTGGCCCGCCATAGGAGAGTCATGGTTCTCTACCAACACATCCTTAACCTTAGATGGTGGTACACAAGTCCTCCATACCACTCCGCCTTCATCATTCTTATCTTTCCCAAGACGCCTGTATAACTCCCCATCCCTAATACAATAACTCGGGACACGTCTGGGATTGGACGACACACACTCTTTAGTGCGCTGGTACCATGTGCCATCTTCTGGCTGCATACCCTCGGTCTCTAATGCAGCCTCTCGTGGGTCTCCTCCCATCACAGCTACGTCAGCCGGGGTATCGTCATCTTCATCACCCACGGGCTGACGGGAGAGAGCATCTGCAACACGATTCAACGTACCCTTACGGTACCGGATCTC